AAATTAATCAATATAATTGATTATGTTATATGATATATAATTGATTTATAAGATTGATTTTAATCAAATTGAAGAGTATAATTGAAAAGCAAAATCAAAAATCAGAATTAAAATAAGATAAAACCATATTTTTGTAAAAATATATCCAAACGCTCCTATACATGTCAAAATCAATTATCAACCAAAAACCATGGTTATTTCATGAGCCATTACTATTTTCTTTTTAATTCAATTTTTTCAACCATACATTTCTAAAGTTTTATTTAAAAATCATATAAATCATTTTATAAATAATATTTTTTGGTTTATAATTGATTTTGACATAATCATAGATGTTTAGATATTTTGAAGAAAATTATAGTTTTAAATTCATAATTAATTTTAACATGTATAATAGGTGTTTAGATATTTTTGAGAAAGCATGATTTTAAATTCATACTTGATTTTAACATGTAACATAAGTATTTGAGGAATTTTTGTCAAAATGTGGTTTCATACAATTAATTGATTTTGATTGTAAATTCAAACAGGCACAACAACAATTTGATTTGAAAGGAAATTTATATTAATTATTTTTAAATACTGATAAAATTCAACTATTATATTTGAGACATATATTAAGTGAGTGTATTTATGACACTTATGGAATCCAAATTCGTTCAAATCCCTCCATATGTCTTAAATTCTTACTCCATGTAGTCCTATTTAATCTTATTAACACGATCTTATTCATTAATTCATGATTGTCAATGAAATAATTTTTTTCCAAAATCGAATAAAACATTCATTATTCATGATGCATTTTTTAAAAAAATGTTATCGCCTCTTTTGCTTTCTGCTTAATTAATAGCTTTTTATTTCCTCTTTTTCTTTTATCCAATGAACTACGTCAATTGAAGGTAGTTTTGAAAAGTTGTAATTTTTTTTTTACATTTAACCACTTTTCAATTATCTTTTTAATTTCTTAATCTCATAAAAGTGGTTAACAATATCTCATAGAAAGATCGAACAAACTAACAAAATATTATATTGGGGTGGTTTAATTCTTTCTTCGTATTTTACATGTCTAGTTTATTTATTAAAACAAGTTAGAAAATTATGTTATGAAAGAGTAATTTAATTAAAAAAAGTCAACGGAAGGGGAATGAAAATGAAAATTAAGTTCTAAAAATAGAAAAGAAGTTCATGCAATGTAATTTTTTCGTTATAAAATATTTTGAGCATATTTTTTATCCTCAAATCTTAGTCAGTAAAACTTAATTGATTAATTTATGTCCTCAAATCTTAGTGAAAGAAAAGTGTTTTTTTTTTAAATTCATTGTCACATTTTCAGGGGAAAAATAAAGTATCAATTAAATTTGTTATCATATTATAAAATTTGTCAGCATCACATTTTTATCTTATTAGTCAAATTGATCGATTAAATTATTGTCATATTTTCAATCATCAGTCTAACTTAATTCCTCTATCGTTTTCTTTTTTTTTTTTTCAAAATCCTTTTATCATTTTCAATTATTGATTACCGTGCTCCTATCACTTCGTTTCCATCCACTTGTAATTTCAATTTTCAATAGAATCTTTATTTCTTCACCTCTCTTAATGCATTCAATTTTTACGTTTCTACTTCCAATGTATCAATCTCTAAGCCCTTGATTCCCAACATGATCAATTATCATTCAAGTTTTAAATCCCAAGCACCATATCTGTTTGTCCATTCATTTACCTTCAAATTCTAGATTACTTGGTATTTCTTCCGCTTTAAATTATAAAATATTTTTATACAAAATTTTACATACTAATAAATTTTATTAAATACAATTAACAACTTTATCTTTTCAAAATAAAAATATAAACTTTTTAAAATACTCATCATTTAATACATTGAAAAAGAAGAGGTGAAAATTAATTATAGAAAGAGAAATAATAATATTAAAATTAGTACATTTAATAAAATTTTAATCTATCCAAAACGTCTTATATTTTGAGATATATAAATTTTTTTAAAAATATCTTATAATTTAAGATGAAGAGAGTACAACAAAGCAATTATTTATGAAAGTCACTCCCATTTAGCACCACATGCTGCATTCATTTCTTCCACGTGTTTAAACCCCAAACCCGCATGGTCTTTGTGCTTGTAGATACCATTCAAATTTAGAAGGTGGGCTTTCCTCGATCACCCACCTCACCCCACAAAAAATTGTTATCGCACATCTCACAGACTGAATCATGATGCCTTCCTCCAGATGCTCTTGGATCGGGGAGTATATTACATCCATTTCCAAACAGGTGTAGCCCAAATGGGTGAACTGACTTGTCTTTTATCTTCTTTTTATTGCCCTTTCTCATCTCACATGCATCCCTCTGTTGTACTGAAAAAATCTTAGGTAAAGGTCTCTTTTCGCATGTCAACTATATAGAATTCTCTTTTGGGCATCCCAATTGGGGGAGAAAGTGATGATTTTGTCAGAGAAATCTTTGATAGCGTTGGAAATTGATGGTTTTTGCATAAGCATGTCATCTTTTCATTAAGAGAAATCCTTTTGCATTCCAAGGAAAGTTTTAATCTTTAATAGCGTTGGAAATGGATGGTTTTTGCATAAGTATGTCATCTTGGCGTTCTTTTTGAATTTTGTCATTGCTCTGAACATGATTATTATATTGATCACAATATACTTTTCAATTATAACTATCATTGCAATACTTTGGAGTCCACATTCCCTTTTTTTTTCGGTTTTGAATATGATCAAAATTTTTTGTCATGCAACCCTTTGCCTGGCCACTTCTTTAATTTTCTTAATAGTTTACATGGTCCTTATTTTATCGTTCCCCCTTAATTTTTTACCTATGGATTATTAGAGACAATCGAAGTGAGGAGTCACGCAGTTCAAATGAAGAAGATTGTAGAAAACCCCGTTCCTGGCTTCTTGGTGAAGAGCTTAATTCTTTGTTTGATTTGTGTTATATCTTTGCGATGCTTGGAACCTAATCAGTTTTTATGAACGTTAATGTTCCATGTGAAATTCAATATTTTATTTCCTGTGTATAAAAACAAATGAAAAGATTCAGTTTATTTGTGTGCCATTTTATGTTAATTAATATAGAATTTCTCCTTATAAAAAAAATGTTAAGATCACACAGAAGTCAATTTTAGAATTTGGATCACATTTTTTATTTATTAAAATTATAAGAATTTGAAAGAACTAAAAGTTTAACATAAATTATTAAGTAAAGACGAGTATAATTTGACGTATGAAAAGAAAAGTGAATTGAATATCAATATATTATACAAGTTATTATTGAAATTAAACTTAAAATTAAATTTTATAGGCAAAGAAATAAATATGATCCAAGCATATATGATAATATATTCTAAACCAGCTGATACAATTTTATTTCTAAATTAACTTGAATTAATTTTGATGCTTAAATAGCAGTGACAATTTCAAGAGCAAATATAAATGCGTGGAGTATGTTTTATAAATTATAAATATTATACAATTTATTTGTATAATCAAAATCTAAGAAATTCATATTTTTAAATATACATATATTTAAAATTTTAAGGGGATACAAATAAAATTTCCTTTTGGGAGGAAAGGGGGAAAGCATATTTAAATTGTAGTTACTAATATTAAATTATTTATGTGAAAAGATAAAATTCAAAACTCCTGAAAAATGATAAAGTCTTATTTAATTTTTTTCATGTCTATTATAAATATACATTTTAAAACAAATTTTTTTATTCCTAATAATAATAACAATAAAAAAATAGAGAGAGAAGCTGAAGGAAGGAAGGAAGAAAAAGCAGGAGAATAACAAATGTATAAAAATATCTTATACAAATAATGATAAAAAAAATGTAGGTACGATAACCACTAAAAATCATGTCTCGAATAAATCTTCACAAAAAATGTGAATCTGCATAAAGATCAAAATGATAATTAGACATAAAAATGTATAAAAGAAGATGGATAAGGGTGATATTTAATAATTTATAATTCATTTCATTTAATTACTAATTATTAATAATAAAATCTTCTCTATCCCCAATCATCACTTATCCCTCTCGTATGCATTCATTCCCCTTGTCTTCCTTTTGTTCAAATTCACATTGCCATACTTAAAGCATTCCAAGATTTTTGCTGTTTCTCTTCCACTATCCCTGGTACTTTCATCATCAATTATCACTTCATAAATACATTAGTAATAATATTTATGATGCTCTACCGTTTTATTTCTTATTATATAATTTATGATTAAAAATAATGTTTGAATGCGATATCGATCATTTATTGCTACTCGTGCAATGCACGAGATTATTTTCTAGTTCAAAATAAGAGGAAAGTTTTTATAATTAACTTTATTATATATATTCCCTTTATTAAAAAATATAAAGTATTTTTAATCGAATCTCATCTTTCAATAAAGTAGTTATCTACTTTTAAATTAACCCTATCTTTTCATATTTACCCATATTAAATATCTCCTACAATAAATATAAAATTATTCATCAATAGGGACATTTTTGAAAAAAAAACAATGTTTACACCTCAAAAGATTAAAAATGTCTTACATTTTTGAATATCCAACTCTTTAAAAAATATTTTATATTTTTAAATGGAGAGAGTATATATATAATAAAAATACTATAGTATTATTACCAAAATAATAATAATACTATAATATGTGCATGTGTTTTTTCGAGACAATATAATCTTTGATCTTTATAATTTTATTGAGTTTTATTTTTTATTTCTATTAAATATTAAAAAAATTATAGAGATATAAAAAATAAATATTATTTAATTTTTTAAAACTATAAAAACTGCACATATTAAAAAAGAATTACAGGAATTACAAATAAAATTTAATTTAATGAAATTATGGATTGATGGTTGTATTTTTCTTTCTTTTTCTTGTTTTTGTTTTCCCCCTACAGAGCAGGAGGAGGAGTGCATCACCTAGTTCCCAAAAACCCGTACCCCTAATATTGGGCTCTTGTGTGCGTACGGCCCCCGAAAAAACTTGGCTGCTCTAAAATGAAAAAAATTACCACCTACGGCGCCGGGGATCTCTTGACGCTGTCATGGCGGTTCTTCTCAGAATCAACAAGAGTAAGCGTGGCTTCCTATCTCGTCTAGGATCATCAATCATCTTACAGGTTACCGCTTCTACAATATCGTATTTTCTGGTCGAGGCATTTTCTCAAATTCTCTGTGACTTATCTTTCCCGCTTCTGAATTCTGTCTTGCAGAGGTTTAGCTCAAAGATGGCCGAAGGAGCAGTGAAAGATAAGTTATCCACACAAATGAGCATCGACTATTCAGCTTGCCTAGGTTACTGTCCTTCTAGTTTTGCTTGTGAATTTTATTATCCATAGTTGTTCAAAACTGGGATAGGTGGTTGTGGTCACACTCCTCTGTTGTGGATGATTTTACATCTTATCATCCTTTATATCTTACTAACCAGATGCCATTATATTGTTAATCGGTCCAAGGATGCTGCTATGTTTTACTTCTGATTGCTTGTACTAGCTAATGGCATTTTTGTGTCCAAGCATTCACGTTAAAGATACCTGTTGCTCTTTTGGTTAATGATCCAGGCCGCATTAACATCGCCCAATGGAAGAAGTTGGATGCAAAGAGGCTTGGCATAACTGGTTCTATGATTTCAAGCCCCTCTTGGGCTGTTCTGAATCTTCTTAAGAGCAGCGGTAACAGTTTTCTCTTTACTGTCAAGTGCTATAATGTAAGTCAGATTATGCAGGAGCTTGTAACATATCCTCTCACCCCCCATTGTTGATAATGATAACGAAAGAGCACTCTTTCCCGTGCTACTATATCTGCTGCATGCCTTTATTAAATTACGCTGTGCTCAAGCTCAAGTTCAGCACTCGAATGCAGCAAACAGATGATATGGTTCTATATTAATTTAAAATTAGCTCATGGTTGAGCTGAACGGCAACAGAACTGAAATAGAAATCCGAGAAAAAAACAATAGAACAGTGCCTCCCCCACTCTGGTTTCCACGAGAGTCTCCAGCCTCCACTTTGGCACTTCCACACCTTTTTTTTTTTTGGGGGTACCCTGCCATGTCCATTCCCACTATTCCTTAATACCTTGACACCTCAGCACTACCTGCTCCTCAATTCTCCCCATTCTGGCCCTCAGCCCCCATTCTCCCCATTCTCCAGGTCTCCAGGACTTGTTTTCCCTTCCTCCTAGCACAGTTCTTAATGGGATTGACCCTTCTAGTATAGGTCCTACTCCATAACCCATTTGGCCCATCAAATTATTTCAGATATAAAACTGTAGGATGCATAACATGTTTTCTGTGCATGTCTGGCGCATTACTTAGTAATGATTTTGTCCGCTATGTTGGTCTTGGCGACTGAACACTCCTAGTTTGGATCATGTCTCTACAAGAATTTTTTCAAGCCATGCAGTTGGTGAATGATTAGGTTATAGGATATTCCTTTAACTGTTATTCTTAAAAGAAGCTTACTTGGTTGATCTCAGTTGCTCCCAAAACAAACAGCTTGCACGGAAAGTGCTTTCTTGACAATGACATTGATACCCAATCTGACTTATTATTTGATTGATTCTGTTCCGCTCTAGATAAAACTGCCTTTCTTTAAAACTCTTGTTATGTAAATACCTTTCTGGTTCATAATGACACGGATTTATCATTACTTGAAGTGCAGGATTTGAGTCATACTTAGTGGGTGGATGTGTGAGAGATTTACTTCTCAATAGAATTCCGAAAGATTTTGATATCATCACCACGGCAAATCTCAAACAGGTTTTGCAATAATATTCCAATTTTTTATTTGCAGAAAATGAAATGGTATTAGAAAGAGGGGATATTACAAAGCATTGAAGATAAGAAGTCCTTAAACAGAAGATAAATGAACACAAAAGCAGAACATCTATCAAACTCCTAATAAGGTAAAATTGAATGTAGAAGAACTGCCCAATATCTTAGCATATTGAAAGTGGAATTTCCTTTGAAACAGGCATGAGCTAATCACCAAAGAGTAGACATATAAATTATAAACAATGCTCACCATAAAATGTTTGAAGACAAGGACGCTCCCTTGAAAATATGGGCATTCCTCTTCAACCGGGCCAACCTTTAAGCCTCATAAACCACATGCTCCCACAAATTGTGTCATCTCTTTCCCATTACCAAATTCCACAAAATGAATTTGGATAAAGTGATCCAAAGTACTAGAACAAACCTAACTTTTTTCCAGAAGGCTAAAATGCTTATTTGAAAGGTAGCTTGCTGCTGGATATTGAAGGAATAAATGGGGCAAATTTTCTAGCTTACATCTTTACTTTACAATCATGTCTGGGGAAAAGAGCCATGTGCAGCTGTTGAAACTGCAACATGTCATTTTTGTTTATCCTATCAAGGGTTGCTGTCCAAGCAAAGGATTTTACCTTAGAAGGAGCTTTGGTTTCCAAATTGGCTTATGAAGAACAAACCTTTCCCTTGTAGGAGAATGAGTGCCTGCTTGTTTTGTGTTGATTAATTCAAAAATGTGGTTTCTTCTGTGAATACGTGGTTTTTACATTGATAAACTTGAAAGAAAAAAACATCCCGAGTAAGGAACTGAAAGCAAGACATGCAAGAGAAAGTACTAGAAGGGTCAATATTCCAAAATCTCATATCATGACCAGAAGAGAAACTGACTCAATCCATTAAAGAAACAAGAGTAAAGATCACTATTTGTTCTTTCATTCAATTTAAAAAGGAAATTCCAAGAACCGTTAGATTTATGGATAGTAAATGTATTTTTTGAATAAGAAAGTCATGAGAATTTCATCTTCAAACCATTGCCCAATTTGATTTTAAAGAAACTGATATCGCACAAGAAGCATATCCTTGTGAAATAAATTTCCCCGGACTTGCATGAGTCACATTACCTCCAGTGTTGGCATCCCACCCATTTGGATGAAACTGTACTTTTTCCAAATAACCTCATGCTATAAAGCAGCTACCTTTGAAGGAAAACTCTGTAACCTTTTACCTGACAAGGCAATATCTTGGACACCAATTATTCTGATCAAAGCCCCCTTCATTATTAGGCCCACCGCAAGCTTATCTGCTGACAAGGTAAACTTTGTTATCCTCTCATAGTCCTGACCAAAAGAATTTCTCGTACTAGGATTAAGTGTCAGATAATATATACGTATGCTGGATAAGCAGATTCAATAAAAGTGAAATGCCTACCAAAGGAATAAAGGGCTTTCTTCCAACTATCCTAATGCTGACAGAGCTCTTGGATGACTGGCTCCTAGAAACTAGCAGCCTGTGGTTGCCCCCTGTAGCTTTACCTTGTTAAATGAGAGGCTATTGTAAAACTTGACACCCATCCAAAACAACATGAGTGCATGACAAAAAATACTGACTTTTCCACATTTATCCTGGTATTATCACTCTTTGGCAAGTCAATCTTCAGACTTGACAAGGCCTAGAAAACCTCAAGAATGTAAAGAACACTTATGAAGCCGTGTTCATCTTCCTTTAAGATAGGATCATATACAAATTGCAAGTGGGAGATCATGTTCTCCTTTGACCGAATTGTTAGACTGTCAATCACACTCTTACCCATTGCTGTAGAAAGTGTGTGGCTCAAACATCCGCCACTAAAGTGAGGGGATCACTTTGCTTAACTCCTCTTTGATTTGATGTTGAAACCAAGATCTAACAGTTACAAATAAAGTAGCAGTAGAAAGATAACCTAAAATCAGTCTTCACCATCTATCACTAAAACCTTTCCTAGCAATAAACTTAAGTAACAACTAAGAAACCTCCCACACCCTATCACGTGTTTTCTTCAAATCCAATTTGAAAATTATACCACGAGCTCTTTGTTTCTTCACATCACCTCCAAATTCATTTGCCACTAGGAAACTCTGGTTTTTTTAGATTGTATCTCAGATGCTGTCAAAGCCTAGCAGAGAGAACCTATTTGATGATCTTCTATATGCTAGTGATCAAACTTATAGGTCTATGGTCTCTCACCTTGATAGACCTATCCTTGGGCAATAAAGTTACAAAGGTTGAGTTCGAACACATTGCACTTTTCCATTACAATAAAATTCACCAAATGCCATTAGAAGATCCCGTTTGACAATATAGCAGCAATTATGAAAGAACGCCAAAAAAAAAAAATTTGGACTAGGAGTGTTGTCTTTAGTCGGATCCCAAGTAGTGCTTTGAATTTTTTCCTCTTCTGAAGGACACCCTAACAAAACAGCCTTGTTTGTATAAATGAAATTTCTTTTGATCCTTCCATTAATGGTCTACAAGACTTCTGTTCAGGTCATTAAGTAACTTCATTTACAATAAAAACCAATATTCCAAATAAGACTCCAACACTTAAGGTCTTTTTTTTTTTTTTTTTTTTTGTAAATTCCGTTTTGGCTTCTGATGCGGACAAGCCTCCTACCAAAGATCAATGCAAAACAATTTTCCAAGTTTTCAACTATATAAATTTTATAATGTGCGTGTTTAATGAGTTTTAAAAGTAATTTGGCAAAAAAAAAAAAAAATCTTACAGATAAAAACGAAGTTTCGCCGTGCTGAGGTTGTTGGGCGACATTTTCCAATATGCATTGTGCGCATCAAAGGTTCTGTCTTAGAGGTTTGTTCATTCTTTCGGACTTGATTATAATCATCTATAATCTGTAATATATTAAATCTTCGCATTGCATTTATGATTTGTTGTGCTTGTCATTTGACAGCTATTTAATGATTATTGTAATTTCAGTTAATTAAATAGAAAATGGTTAAATGGATACTGGACCAGGTATCGAGTTTTGAGACAGTGGCACAGACACATACTGAAGAGAGAGATATTTTTTTATCCTCCCTGATGCCAAAAGGCTGCAATGGAAAAGACTTAATTCTCTGCAAAAACTCCTTGCAAAGGGACTTCACAATCAATAGGTAGTTTTTAAATTTTAAACTGCTGCGTTTCTACATATGTATATTTTTTAATTTTTGATAACTAGTTCAGCATTGAAAATGTCTCTTCCCATTTTAGGTCAGGTTATGACGTATGTCATTGATATAGGAAGTTGAAGAAACAAGTATTACATTTCACATTCAATGATTAATTTTGTATGTGATGGTTTATGAATTTATTTCTATTTTGACAACAGCTTATTTTACGATCCTTTTGCCCATAAAATCTACGACTTTGCCAATGGATTGGCTGACTTAAGGTCTATGAAGGTAACTCTTTGTTTGATTCACGCATGAATGTTAATCACTGCCAAACATGATTGGAATTACACTGGAGTATAATAATGCCTATTCATATGGACTCAGCTGCAAACCATGATCCCTGCTCAACTATCTTTCAAGGAAGATCCTGGTAGGTGGTATCATTAACATCTTATAAACTATGATATGACTAATATATCATCATCCCCAATAAATATGACGTTACTTGAGGAATTCTGCGCAGGAAGAATTTTGCGCGCCTTGAGAATTGCAGCTCGTTTAGGTTTATCATTATCAGGGGAGATTACAGCTGCAATTCAGACATTTTCTTTATTGGTTAGGGGCTTGAACAAGGTATTTTAATTGGAATTCAGTCATGATGTTATGCTGCCTAAATTTGGCTTAAAAATAATTATTTTATGTCATGGTCTTTCTTGTATGCTTCTATGCTATTTTCATTCTTGAGCTATGCAGAAACCTTTTTGTTGTAGTTTTTATTGCAATACCTGGAAAAGGTAAAATTGTGTATTGCAAAAAAGGGGGCAAAAAAGAGAGAAAGCTCGTAAATGCCACCCTGTGGATGTCAAAGTAGTTATTGTTCTTACTTACGTCTTACTTTTTCTGTTCTCTACATATTTCAGGGTAAAATAATGATGGAATTGAATTATATGCTTTCTTATGGAGCTGCCGAACCATCCCTGTCCTTGCTCTGGAAATTCAAACTTCTTGACTTTTTACTTCCTTTGCATGTAAGTGGCTGTTTTACTGACTTGTAGTCATGCATTTATTTTCTGAGGCAGGCTATGAGTCATAAAATTCTTACTTGTTGATTGTTTACAGGCAGCATACTTAGACCGACAGGCTATCAAACAAGATGTTCAAGCTTCCAGTATGCTTATGGTAAATTAAGTTTACAAAATATTTGTTAAACAAGATCCCTGTAATCTTAGAATCAGCTGTCCTTTAAAATGAGATTTTGTAGATTTGTGAACTAAGTTCAGTAATCTTAGAGTTATTCACATGGATGACTAACCAAAATTCATATAGAAATGCTAAATATTATGGGAATAATTAAGAGGAAATATTTTTTTCCTTCCCCCTTGCAAGCATGGTTGTTGATGGTTTTGATCTTAAGAACTAGAGGTGAATTTGATGAAAGACTGCATTTGTGTTAGCATGAGTACATTAACCTGACACTGAGGGATCTTATGAAACTCTGAATCAGTTCTTTTATATTCCAAATCAAAATCATGCCATATATTTGATGTTTCAACTTCTAAGTTTAGTTACCTATAGTTTAATATTTCTTCAAAAGCACTTTTTTTTTTTTGGTTTTGTTATTGCTTTAACAATTGCTTAAGTTAATTTTGCAGAAATTATTCTTCCATTTGGATAAATTAGTTGCTTGTGATCGACCTTCTGTTTGCACTATATGGTGGGTAGTTTCCTTTTCACTTGCTTAATATTCTGTAGATTTTATTCCTGCTGATTGTCTGTGGTTGAAGAAAGAAAAGTTTTAAACCGAGGATGTCAGACAAATGTGCCATTGTAGTGACACATAGTATTTGAGGAAGGAAGAAGAAAGAATTTTTTTGCGTCAAAGACTGAGGGATTTCCTTGGAACTGGACAAAGCACTTTTGATCTTGGAACTGCTTTATTTCCATGGTTATCCTATTCTTGGAAGATTTTCTTTTACAGTACTCAGCATAACTGGAAACATCATTTACTCGTTGCCTGAAAACAAAGAAAAAAAGAAAGATACCATGTTTACATGAGATCACAACTCTATTCTCTCTACACCCCATGTAAAAGGCTTAAACCTCTGACAAAGAGTATAGAGAGGAAGCATTTATGATGTGTTTGGATTAATGGAGATTTGGATTTGGATTTAGATCAAATCCCTTATTTGGATAAACAAAATTTTATGGATTTGGATTTGATTCAAATTCAAAATCCATCTCTTATTACATTTCTTTTGTAATTTCAAATTTTTCCTATACCCTAATGATTTAAAATTCCAATCACTTCACATCTCGTTCTCCTTGTTTTCTTATTATTAATGCCTCTCTGACTCTCATATCTTTTCTTATCCTTCATCGATTGAAAAACATAGATAAATTCATAACTTTCGATTTTTTTGTTTCTTTTTAAATCTCAACTCATCTTTCCTTTTCATTTGAATTTTTTAGAACTACCCAAATGAAGGATTTTGAATACATGAATTCTAAAAGTGAGATTTGAAATGTAATATTTTAAATCTAAAATTCAAATCTAAATACACCAATCCAAAGGCTTGAATTAATGTTGATTTGTTATGAATTTAAGTCAAGGATTTCCATCTGAGATGTTGTTGTTTTTATATGGTGCAGGGTTGGATTACTGGCATTTCACCTGGCATTAGTAAATAACCCTCAAGATGCCCTTGTGGTGTGGGCACTTGCTTCTGTTCTATATCATGGGGAGTGGGAAAAAGGTGTTGAATTTGCAAAAGAACAAGCACAAAGGAATGTTGGCTTCTCACCTGAAATAAAAAAGTCCTGTGTGTACAAATCTGATGATGAAATTGCCAGAGCAGTCGCTCAGTTGGCATCTTTGGTGGTGGATTCCATACCTCCTCTGATTAATGAGAATATTCTTCAATCCGTCCCTAGACATCCATCTACTTCACGATCTAGTTTGGTAAGTGCGTTAACGTATGCATATCTTCTTTGCTAGGATTTGAAACTTTGATCTTCATATTTTTGACTAAAAAATCAAGTTCTGTTTTGCTTGTCCGGACACTCAATGATTAGGATTTTCTGTGATTCTTCATTGTCACTGTGTCCAGAACTCCTGACCTTGTTGGCAGTTTTGGGTTTTGAGAATGCAAGTTGCTCTGGTGCCATTTAAACAAGTAATAACGTGAAAATTGTATGGTATTAGAAGGTCGCAACTTTCAGAAGTTAGAGATAACTATTTTATATATATACTATACTATTTCTCACACACACGCACGCACACACCATCCTGTATTATTCTCATAGGTTAAGGTAGTTTCTGCTGCCTTGTAAATCATTGCACCTGTGTCTACTTTAATGTGTTGCTTTTTGGTAATTTTTGCCCGTGCAATCTTTCATTTATGCCCATGTCGGTGTATGCTGCTTTCAGTAGTTCAGAGGTTCAATTGACTGAATTCTTTGTTTTTCTTAGGTTTTTATATCAAGGAAAACGGGAAAGGATGTGGAAAAACTCTTCAAGGTGCTGATCCGTAGTGTTGATTCTTACAGAAGCGAAAAAAAGGATTTTGAAGTAGACTATTATTTATTTGGGAGAGGTCACCTTTCAGAGATAAGGTTTGTGTTTGGCAAAGTTGTTCTTGACACTATGAGTAATCCACCAAACTCTCAACCGGTGACCAAGAGAGATAAAAGACGACCTTCATCATCATCATCATCAAATCCAAGACCTGAGAAAAAGAAAATCAAGAAACATAAATCGGTTCAGAGTGAAAGTATTCCAGATCAGAGGACGAAGAAAGAATTGTTCGAGATCCACAAGGATGAAGAAACTGCTACGAAGCTTCTCAAGTTGTCTGAGTTATTTAAGTAATGCAGAAATTTGTTCCAAGAATGAAAAATTGGCATCAACATCTGATAAATGATAAAGACATATTGCTGTTGCCTGCAAAATGTGTCCTGACCATGGTAGTCATTTGAGGGCAGTTGAAAGAAGGCTTATTTGGTCCGAGAGTACATTATCTATGAATGATAGCTGACAAAGGCAACATTGTGCGTGCATATGTAACAGTTTAAAGGTAAAAGGGATGAGGCTTTCAAGGGGATAGAAGGATCACACTTGCTTTAGAGCAAGCAAAGTTAGACGTGGCTTTCCAGTCTCTTAACTTACAATTACTTCAACATGAAATGTGAAACGATAATCTTTTGCAGTTACGCATGTATTCTTGATTTTTTTTTTTTCCTGTTGTCCAAGCTAAATCTCTAACATTATTCTGTCTTCATCTTCTTTGCGGTTGACATGTAAATGCAAGTTAACTATTGTCTCATAAATTTTGCTTTCAAGGGGAGTAGTTAATGAGGTATTGTAATTCAATTTTAGATTATCATTTTACGTTTGTCTCGTCTCTTTACAAATTGTATTGTTACAAGTTACTTATAATTAATTCACATGAAGACTGGCTAGTTCCATCATTGAATTTGTCTAAAAATGACTTTGATTTTCTTTTTCTTTTTTAATCTTAAATATCATAAATTTAAAAACCATTTTTTATCTCTTCATTGGGAATTGGGAAAAAGCAGATATTTGTAATGAAGTGATTGAAGTTACGTAAACTCTAGCAAAGTGACAGGATTAGAGGGAGCATATTATTTTATTCTTGATGGTGAAAAACATGTTTTTTATAGTACTAGCCTAATTCAATATCAATAAAAGGTTTCATCCAATTCAATAAAATTGTCTCTTTATATTTTCAATTGTACGTATTATCTATCATTTACCATTACCCATGTTTGACTACAGTTTCAAGCAATGCCATACCGCTAAAGAAATAATTATACATTTGTGAGAAAAAGAAAAATTACCATTGATCACCTCATGAATAATATAATTGCTCAAAAATTATATTTTACATTGATTTTATTGATATTAGTATGGATTATTGATTGAGTCCATTTATATTAGGCTTAATGAGTATTTTAAATTCTAAAGTATGATGTGAAAAGTACTATGAACTCTAAACTCTTAAAATATACTCCCTCCATTTAAGAATGTAAAGCATTTTTTAAAGAGTTAGATGTTAAAAAATGTAAGGTATTTTTAATCTTTTAAGTGTAATCATTACCTTTTTTTTTTTTTTTTTTCAAAAGTGCCCCTATTGATAATGACTTTATATTTATTGTAAGGTGTTTAATAGGGATAAATATGAAAATATAGAATTAATTTAAAAGTAAGTAACTATTAAAATTCGGTTAAAAATACCTTATATTTTTGAACGGAGGGAGTATAAAATGGATCCTAAACTTTTAAATTCATAACAAATTAAACCCCACCGTTAACTCACAATTAACGCTATTGCTGTTCACTTAGTGGGCATGATTAAAATGCTAATGTGACTATCCTTTGTTGATATGTCATTTTTATTTAGCATCATAAATTCTAAACTATTGTGTAAGTATTATCTTTGATACTGAACTTTGAAATTTAGAACAAATTACCCCCACAATTTATGTATAAAATGCTGATTATTATGTAGACCATGGTAAATGTATTGTTGACCACGGCCAACGACTCGTAATTTTGTGAAATGATATTTTTTGCATTGTTTTTCAAATAATTGATATCTCATACTTTCATATATTCTATAACTTTAATTTAGTCTTATTTTAAGTAATGTTTATTTATTTAATGGTGAAAACTTGGGATTCCATTTGAAAATAAGTTTAATATTTTAATTAATCAATTAATTTGGATTTGAAATCTGTTGATGAAATTATTGGTTTTCACATCCATCGTCTGTAAAATTCTCTGATATTTAAACTTCTTTTCAAATGGATTGAAAGGTTTCACCATTAAATAAATAAATATTATTTAAAATAAGACTAAATTAGAGCTATAAAGTATATAAAAGTATGAGATACCAATTATTTGAAAAATGTTACAAAAAAAGGGGCAAAAAACATCAATTTATAAAATTATGAGTCGTTTGTCATGGCTAACAATGCATTTACTTAAGTAGACCATGCTTAGATTAATTTGGTCTAAATAATAATTAACGTTTTACACATAAACCATAAGGATAATTTGCTCTAAATTTTAAAATTTAAGGTTCAGGATGATACTCACGTAATAATTTAAGGTTTGTAGTACTCATTAAAAATGACACATCAGCAAGGAATTGCCACATCAGCATTTTAAACTAGCCTTACTTGATGAATAGTAATGGCATTAATGGTAAGATAACGGTGGGATTTAATTCACTATAAATTTAAAAGTTTAGGATTCATTTTGTACATTTTAAAAGTTTAAAATCCATAATGCTTTTTGCCCAATACTTCAGGGTTTAGAATTCTTATTAACCCTTTATATTATTAGTAAAAAAATCCATTTATATATTGTAACACTCTCAAAACTTACAGACCGATTTTTCACAAATTATTAAAACCATTATCATGGTAAGAAAAGCACCCTCAAAACTTACAGACCGATTTTTCGCAAATTATTAAAACCATTATCATGGTAGAAAATTTTCTTACCATGATACATCCAAGACATAACGCAAGTCTTAAAATATCCAAAAAGGCAATTAAAACCATGAGGGACAGACATAATCCTCATGGCATGATATTCAAATCAGATCATAAATCAAGAGGAACAGACATAATCCTCTTGGTCATATAAATACTTTTAATAAAAAGGAATAGAGTTTACATGCTTCACAAAGAAGATATGTCCTAAGTTGGCACAAGATACATTGTATAATCCAAAATAAGAGGCAACGTAAAAGATGGTGTCTCATACACCATAGTTACACCTCTGGTGCTTTCTCGGCCGGACTCGATCCTGTAAAAATATTAACCACGGGGAATGAGACTTAAAAGTCCCAGTAACCAAAAATTAATATGTAATGATGCATGCGGTTGTAACTAATCATACGATTGCTAAGTAGGCACACAAAACATTTAACCGAATAATATTTTCAAACAAACCGAACAAGTATTTAATTTGCATGACCACACCTTATATCCTCCTTTCGCCATGTTCGGACGCCAAATCACCCGGCCAAAGGTGAGTTGGACCAAGCGACACGCCACTCATTGGGTCCAATGAGGGCTTACCACGTGGTAATAATTAACCGAACAGAAATTTCCATTAACACCATACATTAAAATACCCTGACAAGTCATATATCATTTAAATATCCAAACAGGAATATATTCGAACAATAATATCTCATCATGATAAATAAAAATAAATTTTTGACCCACTTGGCAATAATTTCAAACAAGTATATAACAGTATTTATTTTCAATAATTCATAGTTTTTCCAAACAACAAGTTAACACATAACCATTCACAAACACACTCATCACAACACATTAATAATGGTTACCTTGTGTCTTGAATAACAAGTTCCCCTTCACAACTCCTTTTTCACCACTATCTTTGTCAATATAATCTACATAATTATTTCACAATACTATATATTAATTTTACATTAAAATAAATAACTCTAATTTAAATAATTAGAAAGTCTTAGATCGATAATCCATATTAACACTAATTTAAGATTTATGCCTCATTTAACTTCCTAAATTCGTTTCTAAAATTCTTATACCTAATAAACTATTTTTTTATCCTCAAATCACTTCTAGTATTACAATTTCATCCTTCTATATTCTAAAAATTCGTTCAAAAATAAATTAAAAATTTTAAAATTATCCTGAAGCCTCAAATCACCTTTCTATAACCTCAAAAATACCTATTCATACTTAAATAAATATTTAATAATCATAGGTTTATCCCTACATCTCAGATTGCACATAAATTCAACCATATAGATCTAGATTTTAACTCAAAAATTCTTAAACATGAGTTTCAACCTCAAGAAAATATTTTATAATATTTATTATATTCCTAAGAGTTTTAACCTATATTTTTAATCCATCATATCATCAAATTAACTATCCTATAGAAAAATCCTAATCAAAATATTTACTCTATCCTACAAAATAATCATATCACTAGAAAGCTAATATTATTTAGAAAATAACTATAAAATTAATTTTGTAATTAAATAAATTTTTAAATGCTAATCTAAACAGGAAAGTTAGAACATACATGAAGAAAAAGAAAATAATCCCCCCTTGCGAGAAAACGCCGAGCAACGTGAGAGGAAGAGAGAAAAATAATATAAAAATGGGATTGTGAGTCCCAAAATTATATTAAAAAAAACTATAGGTCTGAATTTAATTATTCAAACCTTTGGGCCATAAGTTGCAATTTTCTCTAAATTGCATCTTAGCCTCTCATGCTTCCTAATGCACACACCCCCTCCTTTTTATACATGAAGGCACCTCTTCTCTTCCCTCATCTAACCAATGTGGGATTTAGAAACAACAACCTTCTACCCCCCTTTTTTTTGTTCCTTCTACCTTCTCTCTCTTTTTTTTGACACACACATAAAAAAATTATTTATGTATTATATCTTAACTAAATATTGCTTATGTGGTTTTAAATTTAAATTTTTAAATTTATAATTAAATACCTAACCATAATATTATTTTTAAATAATCTCAAATAATATAAATTCCTATTATTATCATTTTTTTCCTCAAAACCTAAATTCCACAATTTCTTTATTATATAAAAATCAGGATGTTACAATTCTCCCCTCTTTTTAGAAATTTTGTCCTCAAAATTTAATAGATAAGCTTAGAAACTATGTATCTAAGCAAATAAATATGGATAATCTCGCCTCATACTCTCCTCGGTCTCCCAAGTAGCATCACCTAGGGCTCCACCCTTCCAAATCACCTTCACGAGTCGGATGGTCTTATTGCGCAGTTGTTTGTCCTTAAAGTCCTCAATTCGCTCCGGTTCGGATCTAAAGGTCAAATTCTCCCTCAATTCCACTTCTTCAGGTTCAATAACATGGGAGGGATCCGAGTTGTACTTCTTCAGCTGTGATACGTGGAACACATTATGGATACCTGCAATCTGTGGAGGTAATGCAACTCTATATGCAGCAGATCCAATTCGCTCCAAGATATCATATGGGCCCATAAATCTAGGTGTCAACTTCTTTGCCTTAATGGATCTACTAATGCCTGTCACCGGAGAAACCTTTAAAAATACATGATCTCCTACTTCAAATTCTAATGACCGTCTCCTCTTATCGGCATAGCTCTTCTATTGGCTCTGAGCTGTTAGCAATTTTTGCTTAATCATAGCAATCTTTTGGGTGGTCTGCTCTACAATTTCTGGACCAATGATACTCCTCTCACTTAATTTTGTCCAACACAAAGGCGATCTACACTTCCTTCCATATAAGGCCTCATAAGGCGCCATCCCAATACTAGAATGATAGCTGTTATTATAAGCAAATTCAGC